TTTGACAAATCCGGAAAAAGTTGATTAAAATCGTATATTATAAGACATTTTTGGTCATTGAGGCGATTTTCTCTTTTTAAAAATGTAGACAAGTTTTATCATAGATGGATTAAAAGATCGATGGATTGACCATTTTTTTAAAATTTGACCTTTTATATTCTTAAGAGGCCCAATAAAAGGAGAAATAGAATACAAAAGAGTGGGGTACAGAATACAAAGGGTGAGGACAGCTATTGGGCCTACGAATTGATGCTACTGCTAACTTATCTACGAATACTGTATTTGGAGCTATCTTTTTGGTCGGTGGTGTACCCTTTTATAAACTTTAAATAGAAAATAAGATGACTAAATTATTTTTATTTTATTTTATTCATAAAATTAAACAATAATATATATTAAATTTAACTACTGCTTGTTGCTATTGCTGTACTTGGCTTGGTTTCTCCATAAGGTTCTGCAACCAGAGAAGGGAAAAAGAAAGAAATGAATTAGGTGCTATTAGTTATTCTACTACGCATGTACTATATTATTCAAGCGAAAGAAAGTAAGAAACTAGAAAGTCTTTGGGAGCAAATTTGTTATAAAATTATTATTTATGGACTTAGTTGATGTTTTACCAATAGTTTAGGAGTAAAATTAAATGTTAATATCTTTGTTAATATTGTCATATCATCATTTTAACATGTTCAGGGTGGAGTGGTCATTTCTTAATAAATTGATAACAGTAGTGATCATAATTTAACTTTTCAAACTTTAGTGGAAAAAAGAAACTCACCCAAATATTAGTGACCAATAGTTTACCCATTAAAAATAGGTTAGGTGTTATGTAAGGATTTACGTAATGGTTTCTTAGGGTAAAATACATAAATGGTCATTAAATTATATTAAAATGATACTTTTAGCTATTGAACTTTTAAAAGTTATAAAATGATCATTAAACTTATTGATATGTTATAAAAAGATCATTGAATTTTATCAAAATAGTACAAAAATGGTCATTAAACTTATATAACTGTTAAAAAAATGACATTAAACCTATCTAACTATTATAAAATAGTCTTTAAATTGATCAAAATTTTTCATTATTTTATAAAGTGCAATGATCATTTTGTAACAATTCAATAATTATTTTATAATTTCTGAAAGATCAATGGTAGAAAGATCATTTTAATATAGTTTAGTGACCATTTGTGTATTTTATCTTTTTAAAATAAATTTAATAGTTCAACCTGAAAATAAAAATGAAATAAAATATTAGACACTTATTTTGTTAAAGAAAATAGGCACCAAAAATAGAAAAGAGACATAATTTGGATAACTTTATATCAGTTTTTATAGTTAAATAATAGTGAATAGTTTGGAGTAGTTACAATATAGTATTTACTCAAAAAACTTTTAATCAACTGACAATGCACACATAACATACAGACTTAGTTGCTCGAACCAAGATTTAGGAATTTTGAGTGGTTATAATATAATATTTGTTCAAAATTTCTTAATCAACAGACAATGCACACATAAACTATAGACCCAACTGTTCGAACCTAGATTTAGGAATTTAGGGAGAACAACATTTCCTTTTTATCATTGAGATTATTATTATTATTATTATTATTATTATTATTATTATTATTATATTATTATTATTATTATTATGTGTGGATAGGATGATCTTACATAATGTAAAAAAGTTTTACACGGATTTAATATCTTTGATGAGTAAAAATAGATGATCGAGATTAACAGTAGGAAATGAGAAGATATTCACTGGAATAAAAAAACAAAGAATCAATCTTGGCTATCTATTTTTTCACTCATTCAATGGTCATAAATATATGTAAAACTAAAGAGTTTTGCTTTGTGCAAGTGGATCCTAACCCATATAGAGATAGGATATTGTTACACAATATAAAACTCTTTTAATTTTACATATATTTAAGACCGTTAGATTAATGAAAATAGATGACTGAAATTAACAGTAAAAAATGAGAAGATATTCACTAGGAAAATAAATAACAAGTCAATAAAAATATAGGCATATTGATTTTAATTTTAATTTTACTGAAAAATATAAAATCTAATCAAACTAAATCAATTGATTAACGATAAAAGACTTAACATATTAATGAACAATTTATATTTTATTAAATAAGAGTTTATTTGAATAAAGTTAAAAACTAATTAAGGTACAAGAAAAGTATAGGCATATTGACATTAGAAATGAATTGAAAAGTAAATAAGATGAAAAAGAAAAACTAAAACAATAACCGAAATGAACTTTAATCATCCCCATGACTGAGACAATGGAATTCGATATTTGTATAATGAAATCAAAGATATATATAATACGATGACAAGAGAATTATCTAAAACTGGACAATAGCAGTTGTCGGCTTCATAGAGTATAATGAACTGACTTGTCAAGCATATGTAAGCTACTGAAATGCTACGTAATTTGAACTGTAATATTTAAATATATTTTCTTCTTTAATAATTATTCTTTTGACCATCTTAGGTGGATCCCAATGAAAGAAATCAAATTCCACGCCAAAGATTGTTTGGTTATACACACTAGTTTTACAGTAGTATAAGGCTAAAATAAAACGTTTTATTATTATTTAAATAATAAAATCGGTAAAATATTATTTAAAATATTATTATATTTACTTAAAATATCATTTTTTAAAATTTTTGGTCATTTTTAGCGTTAATAATATTTTTGATCATTTTTTAACGTTAATAATATTTTCAGTCATTTTTTAACGTTAATAATATTTTCAGTCATTTTTTAGCGCCTAATAATATTTTCGATCATTTTTTATCGTTTTTTTATTTAAACAATAATAAACCGGTATCAATTTTTTTTTTAGCTGCATCGCACGTTATCATTTCCCGGTTCTACCGAGAATCTGCTTGGGCCTTGTAGGATAAATCATACTGATTTGGAACACAAGTTTCGGCCACTGTGCATTATTGTAATGCTTTAAGGTAGGGTCATGCTGATTCTCCACCGCAGCTTCAACTATAGAATCCAAAACACTTTGGTTAATAGCCCCAGGTTAACTAAAGATTTTGGTTTTATTTTTATTTTACTCCATCTTATTTAAATTTAGTATTTAGTCCCTATACTTTTATTTTTCATTATTTAATCTCTTTACTTTTATTTGTTTAGGTGGTGTATGATAAATACAAAAATAAGTATTAAATTTAAATTATACGTATGTTTGACATTTTAAAATTCAAATGTCATTAAACGTTAGAGTTTAATTTGATATTACCACAAAATTTTAAAATGGTTCATTTTAACATCAGACTTTGATTTTGGCTTCAATGCATGTACTAACTATTAAATCGTTAATGATGTAACAACATGATTGTTTTCTTTCTTTTTCTAGTGAATTTTAATTTGTGTATTGATTTTATCACTGAAATTTAAAACACTTCAAGTTTAGGCACTAAACTTTAAGCTTGTGTGTCATTTTGGTCCCTATAAATAAATGTTAACTCATTGGATCGTTGTTGTCAGTCAATCATCGTCCGTCATCGGTTGTCATTCACAATAAAATCAATATCAAGACATCCACATTTCACTACTTTTTCTTCTCTTTGAATTGTTTTTTTCACAAAACTCACTCAAAATCAATAAAAAATCATCTAACACTATAATTTTCGATATCCTCTGACAGTCGTCCAATAAAACTAGTTTCGATGTATGTTATTATTTTTCTCGAAAGAATACTTCACATCATCCGTTTAAAAGAAACACTCCAAAATCCTCAAATAGATTTTTTTTAAAAAAAACACTTCAAAATCCTCAAATGTGAGAAAACCCACAAATCTCCAAAAATAGCATATTTTAATGTTTAATTCCGTGAGTTTTAAAGAGCCTTTAAGAAAAATCTAAATCGACAAAGTGATAGAAAATGATGAGATGAATTTATTTATGTGTAGGATGATCACAAAAGATGACAAAGATGAGTAGTTTTCGACGATGGTTAAAAGTGTGAAAAAAAAAGCTCTAACTTTGATGATGACGAAGGTGAGATAGAATTAAAATATTATTTTTTGATTTCCACACCAATGATTATATTGAACTCAAAACGAAAATTCAGTTCTAAGATTGATAGATTATAAAATTAACTGATAAAATCGATATAGATTCTAAAATTAAATGACACTTAAGTAGTTTATCTTAAAATTAGATATTATATATAATTAGAATATTTGGAAATATAAACTTTAAACCATAATATTCTTCGCATAACATTTGAGAGCTTAAATTTCAGAATTTAGATCTAGATTTAGAAGAAAGTATAAATTAAATAATGTTTTAATATATTCTCTCGATTCTATTTCAATGATTCAAACACGTGTATATATATTTTTAAATTTTAAAATGATCATTTTGATGTAACGTTTACGCCAACAATAGTTAGTTATATCATTGCATTCTATCGAATGAATAATCTGGTGATATAATTAAAGTAAAAATCAAAGTTTAATATTATAACTAAAACAATTGAAAGCTCAATTATATAAATAATACGCAACCTAAAGTTTGATGGTATGTAATATAATTTACCCTAAAAATAAAATAATAACAAAAATCACGGTTTATATAATTTATATTTGATGTATACATCAACATGGTTTTTTCTAAATACATTAACATCATATTTAAACGTATTAATTTATATTGAATCATCTTATTATTATATTTCTATTGATGCTGACGAATTGGAGCAAAACATGTAGCCATCTTTTCTTATTTGAAAAAAAAAAGAAAGGAAAGCAACAAATGCCGATGATCCGTCGTCAGCATCTCTGCCTCTGCTATCCGAGACGCCATTTCACTCCACAAGTAGCTTCACCCATAACCCAAAAGCTACTCTCTCGCTGCCTTCTCCTCTCAAAAGAAAGCCTCTTGTTTCTTTATAAATTGTATCCCCTCAACACACGGAAGCACAAGGCCAAACACAAACTGAGAGAAGATAACAACTTCATTACTAGCTGATCTCTTCTTCTTCTTCTTCTTCCTTGTTGTTTATTTGTTGATTTACCGGCCAAACGCTAGAGACGGTTGAGCAGACTAGAGAGAGAATGAGAGAAGTGGCACCGTTTACGGTGATGGTTATAATGGAGGCTTGCACCATAGCATTGACGATATTGGCCAAAACGGCCTTAACAGGAGGGGTTAGCCCTTTTGTATTTGTGGTGTATACCAATGCTATTGGCTCATTCTTGCTACTCCCTTTCTCTTTCCTTTATCATCGCAGGGAAAGGTCTCTATCTTCCTTTATCATCGTACGTAAAAAAATTGTTTTTTCCATTCCACTTCTTCACCGTTTGTATTTCTCATGTATTGCAGTACACAACAGTCGCTCTTCACCTTCCCACTCCTCCTCCGTATATTTTTCCTGGGTTTAACAGGGTAAACTATCTCTTTATTTGGATCTTCCCTGCAAGTGTCATAAGCTATTTCTTCATGTCCTTTGATGTGAAAGTTGACCACTTTTTGTTGGTGTTGATTTTTAGGATTGCTATATCTCAGAACCTTGCATTCCTTGGGCTAAGCTATAGCTCACCAATCGTTGTATGCGCAACGGGGCTGCTGCTACCTTCTATTTCCTTCTTGCTTTCCATTATTCTCAGGTTCTTAATTTTCTCCCAACCATCTTCATTTTTTTATCTATTTGTTTTAATTGTCTATTTCAGTTTAAAAACAAAAACTTGTAGGAAAACATAGCTATATATATTAGAAACTTAATATTCGTACGATAAACCATATAAGTACTTTAAATAATAGTGCATAATACTAAAAAAATTGACCCATCTGTTTGATTAAATTATAACTTTATAACTTCTTTTTTAGCACTTTGTCTCTTAACATTACATTTTGAGGTAAAATGTATTTGGACGGGGTAAAAATCGTTAGTTGACTAATAATCAATATTTATTATTAACGTGTTAAATCATATGCGTACAAAGTGATGACGCGACACATATATATGTCCAAAGTGATGACATGATATTGTCACGTGTTCAAAGTGATCACATGACATTATCACGTATCCAAAGTGATATTGGGGCACATGCTATGTATCCAAAAGTGATACTAAATATTCAAAGTGATGATGTGATATATGTTACACACAAAATGATGATGTGATGTATAACACGTGTCTGAGTGATAATACGACACATGTCACATGTCTAAATTGGTTATATGAAATTTGACATGTCACCATTTTAAACATACGAGACTTGTTACATTAGCAACAAGTGTTGATCGTTAGTTAATTAATAATTTTCATCCTAACAGGAGTATTTTATCCCGAGCTGAAACGTAAGAGGTTAAAGTGTTTCAAAAAAGTATAGGGAATAAAGTGATTATTTTATTAAACGCGAGGGATAAATTTTAATATTATGTAATGAACTAATCAGATTCAAGGTTACTAGACTATCATTTAGTAGGGCTCTTAGATAAAGTGAAAATAAATCAAAATGATGTCCATGAACATGTTTTAAGTTTAGTCTGAAATCTCATAATCATCGCAGGACGATAAAGCTAGATTGGAGAAGCTCAAGCAGCCAAGCCAAAATAATGGGAACTTTGATATCAATCACGGGATTCATTTTTGTAGAACTATACAGAGGCCCATTCATACGAACATCACCAGTTTCCCTTTCCCGTCCGCTTCAAGCCATACCTAAACTTCTTCTTTTCTACTCCACGCCAGATCGTTGGGTTCTCGGCGGTATTTTGCTCACGGCTGCTAACATGTCAGTTTCAATATGGAATACTATTCAGGTAGAACAACAAATTAAGATCAGTGTTTGGTTTGTTTCCTGGAAACCTCCTTCTCTTGTGTCTTATGAGCAATACAAACATTTGTTTTGTCAGATGGGGACCGTCAACATTATCCACAAGTGATGAAAGTGGCCTCTTTTTACAGCTTGGTTGGGACTATCCAATGTTTGCTGTTTTCTTTGTTTATGGAGAGAGATTTAGATGCATGGAAACTTAAACACAAGCGGGATCTCCTTCTCATTACTGTGACAGTAAGAACCAACAAAAAACCAACCCTGAAATTTTGCTAATAACATATGGTGGTGATTAATAGATTCGATGCCGATGATTATATTATAGGGAATCTTCGGAAGTATCATCCGAAGCAACGTGCATTTAGCGTGTACGAGAATGAAGGGCCCTTTTTACGTGCCGATGTTCAAGCCATTCGGGATACTCTTTGCAACAATTTTCGGAACCAGTTTCTTTACAAACAGTCTCCAGTATGGAAGGTGATTAAATCATTAAGATCTCTCCCTTCTCTTTACCATTTCTCAAATCTTTACATCTTACTGATACAAAAGCGTTATACAGTGTAATAGGGACAATAATAGTTGGAACGGGATATTATGCTCTGATGTGGGGACAAATCAGGGAAGCAGTACTTCGGAAAGAGCTCGACGTCGAAAAAGTGGATGATATTTCAGACCTCAAAGCTCCTCTTTTGCAGGAGGAAGAAGAAGATGCCCAAGTCTAGCAGCCTCTTCGTTTGTTATTGAATAAAAGCAAGGAGAAAGTGTCCCTTTTTTCCTCTTATCAAATGGAAGCTTCATCAGCAAGAGACTGATCGGTCAAACCAGAAGGGGCTAAGATTTAGTGGAAGCCCCTTTTACTGCATGTATATAGACGTATGATATGATTGGGTTTTGGTGTATAATGTAAATCTTCTTGCTGGGTTCTTTTTTCGCCCTGCTTGTTGGAGGTCTGATTGATGACAGATTCATGAGTTTTAAATGATTCTGTCATACATATGGTTTTCGAGTGAATAGAAACTGTGGAAAGATTAAAAAAAGAGGCAGAAATCATATCTCTGCTGTATTTATGTATTGAAGTGTTCAAAATATAAGTAATGTTTTTTTAAGGTTTCTTTATTTTATTTATTCACCCTACTCATGTAAAGTCGTAACTATGTCTAGCTTGCTGCTTTCTTTTTCTTTTTCTTTTTCTTTTTTTCACACAAAATATATAAAAACATAAAAAAAACAGTATTTAATAAGAGCGATTTATACGTTGATAGAGTTTTAATATTTATTCAACTCGATAAAATTAATCTCTACTTAAATTGTTAAATGAGAAAACAAAATTATGCAAAAGAAAATTTAATAAAAATTATTTAATATGGGCAATTTACACGCTGAGAGATATTTATGACGATATTTATCGATGTTCGCTCTGAATTTGCAATATATATAGTAATTAACATCTAAATATCTAGATTTATATAAAAATAGATTGAATATCAAGAAATACCTAAATATTTTTGAAAATTTTCTATAATTTTAAATTTTTTTATAATTTTTTATTTTATGATTTTAGAATTATTTGGTAATAGTTTACTCTATATATATAAATCAGTATTCAAATATATTTAGACACATCAAAACTAATTATTAATCGTTAGTTTAATTAAAAATTAATAATTAAGAGTGAAATTACTTTAACGACTTCTTAAACTTTGTCCCACTTTCTTCCAACTCAAGGTTAGCTGAAAAAAGTTTCTTTGGATTCCTTGGCCTCACCTACTCTGTCTATTATAAAAACTATTGGAATTATCTCATTTCAGAATTTGAGTTCGAAACGAGTATTGAATTTTTAAGAGTATTGTTATTCTTAAAAATTCTTAGATTCATTCGACCAATTACGTCTATACGAAATTACATCTACATGATGCATGTTTATGATGTATGTATGTTTTCAATGATGAGGGAAAATTCCAAGATGGCAACCTTGTTTCCCATGAAACAAACAGAAAATTCCAAATGATATCTCAGCTTCCTCCACGCATTTTTCACATTGATAACAACACTTGTTTTGCCAAAGAACAATATGCGCCAACAAGAACACAGCAAAATGAAATTTAAAGGGGAAAAAAAAACAGAATTCCGCATCGTATTCGTCTCTCTCATCGCTTCCATCTTTTGATAACTTGTAACATTATCTGATTCCAAGTATCGACCGGACCCGGAAGACACCAATGTACACAGTCGTTTGGAACATGTTCTTGAATCCCATCAGCAAATGGAAATGGATACATGTAAGGCCCTGGATGACCATCTGGTCTCATCAATGATAATTTGGTCACATCCAATGTCTCAAGTCTTAATCCTCCAAATTGCTTTGCATTCACCTTAGCAGATTCGATTTCTTCGACTGCAATCGATCTCATATCCGCATCCATTCCTTCAACCATCTTCTCTCCTTCCTTGTAAGGCTCTGTCTTAGGACAAGCACCAGCCTTATCCCATTCACCTTCGAAATGTGAAGGTGAAAAACTGGTTAAAACACATCGATTCCATCACCGCTACCAGCTTTCCTTCCGATTATAGTATGGAGAGTGGTCTTTATTGCCTTCCTCATCACATCATAAAAGCCTATCTCGGTTAGGTTCAATCCAGGACAGGAATGGCAACCTAAAACCGAACCACCCTCATAATAAACAGCCGGATGAAGGAACCAATGCCCAATTGAGAGTACAACCATATCTAAATGGTCCAAATCAGATCCCCACCTCTCATCGACAACATCAACATGCAATTCATTATGATCCGGGCCAGTTTTTGATTTCTCAACACCTCTAACAAGAAACGGTGACCAATAAACCGAAACAGTAACGTTCCGAGAATCGAAATGCCATCGCCGGAACTTGTTATCCTCCCCGTTGGAGTAAACCAGGTTAGGATTCGAGGCGGTGGCCAGCATGCAAAGGAGTGATTCCAAATGGTTCCTAGCCATAGAGTCACCAACAAAAGCTATGTGCTTGTTACTAAGGAGGTTGAAGAAAGTGTTGGGATCAAACCTCGGGAGCTCGCATTGGCTCGGTTGCCATCGCCAGTAAAGGTAACCCAAATATGGTCTCCCATGGGAGATGCAATTTTGACCGTCTTTGATTGTACCACAGGTTGTGCCATTGTATAAAGGCCCCATCTTGTCACGTACCCATCTGCCATTGGTGTAGTTACATGGAGCTTCATTAGCTGTTTCCTCTTCTGCGAAAAAAAAAATAAACAAAATGAAAACTTGATTAATACTAATAACACCCATAATCGAAAAAAGTAATAAAAAAGGTAAAATGTCTGACAAACTTGTTTTTTACCGTATGTAGACACTCATTTTTGTCCATTTTTTGTTTATTTTTTATTATTATTATATATATCTATATATATATATTATTTACTTTGCAAACGGTCTTTGAAAATACTTATAATATACATAATTTTTGAAAACATTTTGAAAATGTATAATATATAGTTTTAAAAATATTTTTTGAAACTATATATTATATAGTTTTTAAAACATTTTAGAAAATATATATAATATATAGTTTTTAAAATCATTTTTGAAAAATTATATAATATATTGTTTTGAATTTTTTTAAAACATTTAAATATTATATAATTTTTGAAAAACATTTTAAAAATATATATAATATATAATTTTTAAACCGTTTCTGAAAATATATATTATAAAATTTTTAAAACGTTTTTAAAAACATGTATAATATATAGTTTTTAAAAGCATTTTGGAAATTTATATATTACATATTTTCGAAAATATTTATATATATATAGTATTATTATTATTATTTTATTTCTTATTATTATCTATGCTTTTTGCAGGGTCCAAGTCAAAGATTTGTTTTGGGTCCAATATGGTCCAAGTCCGGTCCAAACACTGGGCCTGAACCAGCCCAGCAGAAGATACAGTTCAGGGTCTAGAAACCCTAGTCATACATGTCACAGGCGGCGCACAAGGGGGGCAACCAAACGTCAAGCCCGAGCCGGCCGGCCGGGAAAATCGGGACTGCACCATCCCGAGAATCCCGGCCATGTGAACGTTGAGGGGAACGACCCCGTTATTATCGGAAACGGCCTTTACCGAGGGGTTATAAATACCCCGGTGAGGCCAGGAGGGAGGGATCTACAGACAGACATCAAAAGAACCGTAAACCCAGAAGCCTAGAAACAAAGAACCCATCGAGAGAACAAAACACGAAAACATCTCAGTACCACACCGAGAGACCAACGACCATAAAAATAGAAGCATCATCGAGCCACAACCGAACAAAAAGACCATCAACAACGGACAAAAATCATCACAAAAATACAAGCCAAAGGCCGAAGCCTCTCAGTAAACAAACCAAAACAAGCACGTAGAGAAACCACAAAGCCAAAGGCCTTGAGAAACGAAGGGACACCGGCGAGAGGGGTAAAAAACCGAAACTTGCACTTTAGATCTACGCCGTTTTGGGGATATTTGAGGGATTTGGACTTTGGATCGACGCTCGGGGTGTCAAGGAGAGTGTCCTAGGCTTGTTTAGATTTTTCGACCACCGCCGGTGGTGGCCGGAGGCGGCGCCGGACAACCTCAGGCGAGAGAGCCTCAGAGAGATTTGTTTCTCTCAAATTCAGAGAGAACACGGGCGAAAATAGGAGAAATGAATTGCAAGGAGGCTTATTTGGGCATTTATATACGGAGGACCGGAGTGCAAATAGATGATTTCTAAATCCTCTCCGCGGTCCCTATAGCTTTGAATCGCTTTACAATTCGGTCATCAGTTGTAATTTGGCCTCGAAATTTTTAATTTTATCAATTTGACCCTGGTTTATATTTTTACATTTTTGTGAATTGGCCACTCACTTATGATTTTATTTTGCAGGTCATTTTTCTAATATCAATTTAACCCATTAATTCCAATTTTGTTCAATTTGATCCTTCAAGTTTTATTTTATCATTATTAGTATTATTTTTTTATTAGTATTGATTTCGAACTTTAATTCTTTTTTGATTCCTTTACTATTTTCTTTTTTTTTCATTATCATTCTTTTCTTTATATTATTTAAAAAAATCCAATTTTTATTTATCATTTTTTTCTATTTATTTTTTATTTTATTTTTAAGCTTATTTTATTTTTTTATTTATTCTTTTCCTCTTTTTTTTTCTTCTTTTGTATTTATTTTGATTTGTTTTTTTTTATTTGTTTATTATTGAATTATCTTTTTAACATTTTTTATCTTTTTTCAGAGAAATTTTAATCAATCAAAGGTAAGTAATTTGAATCGAATATTTTAAATCTTAATTTAAATTTCAATTTTCGTAATTAAAGACAACCGGTGAATTAATTGGTACCGAAAGGGCGGTTCAAGGGTGCTAATCCTTCCTTGACCGTAACCGACTCCCGAACTCGATACGTTTCTGGTACAACGCAGATCAGGTAAGATGGTGTCCGGCCCGCCTAAATTCGTTTTAAAATGGTCGGTGGCGACTCCAATTCATTTAACCCAAGTCGAAGCCCAATTCTGGGCCCAATCGAAAGACGGTTACGACAGCTTGGCGACTCCGCTGGGGACAGGTAAGTGAGTCAGGCCAGAATTAATTTTCCGTTGCCTTTTTATGCGAAAATTGTAAATTTAAATTTTAATTTATCTATTCGATTCCAATTATTTACCTTTGATTATTTTGTTTCAAATAAATAGTTGTACTGATGTTTTTTAATGATTTCAGATTTTTTTCAAAATTGTCATCTCTAAGCTCTAAACCCGAGCTCCGAACCCTTTTAAGTGGGGGTGAAAGCGACGCATTCGTGTGAATTTATTCAACGCATATGCCTAGCAAGTAGCCTTCGGGATTCATATACCTTATGTCTTCGTGTGAATTTATTCACCGTGCGGGCATAAGGGAATGTGTCCCCTCGAGTTTAACTTAGTCCACACAAGCCTGTGATGGGTTTAAGACTAAGGGTCTGGTAAGCCCAAGGGGGCACCGGCAAGGAGAACTCGAGTACCGTTTTTAGAACCTAAACCGGGAGAGTACAGGGAAGTAGAGCCCACCCCAAAACCTCATTCCAAACCCTAGGATGCTTTGTTTCCTGCTTTATTTTCTGTTCAAAGCATGCGAACTAGACAAATATACGGTTAGGATTTGTTTAAAATTAGCATGCGGAATAGAAATCATGTCCGGGTAGGAATTAAAGCATGAGGGGTAGATATCATGTGGGGTAGGATTTTTCATTTTTTTTATTGTTTTGATTTACCTCACTAACCCTTTTATTTTTTGTTCTATTTTATTTTGTGTTCATCGTTTGCATCATTTAAAACGATGTGTTGATCCACCAAAAATGTGTTTGTTAAACATGAATAATCTGCATTAATGGACGAATGGGTTATAATACAAAGAGATAAAAAACAAAAAAACTCAGAAGTCCAACCGTGGTCAAAGAATACTCAAAGGCAAAGTTACAGGGGCAATACGAGGAAAAGGTCACTGACCCGGTCGATCCTTTCGAAAACTACAAGAACAAGATGGTAAAACACTAGCTGAGCTGGATGCCATTACTGACGAATTCAAGAGGCAAGCTTCGGATAATTTCTCTCGATGGAAGGCTCCAATGACACTTTCGTTAGAAACAAGCTCGGTAGAAAGTGAAAGTCGAAGATGCAGTCCTTCGAGATCTTTTTTTTTTGGGCAAGCATCTCATTATTTGCACATTTTAGCCAAAGGAGTCGGAATGGTGCGACAGGATATTCAACTAGTGAAAAAGACGAATTAACTTGTCAGAAGATGTACAAGATTTGTACCATCAAAAAGAGTTTTTTTGTCTCTTCAGACGTAACACTTTTGTCACCAATAAGGGTTATTCAGAATAACAGGCACATTTTTTGGATCAATGCCTCGGACATTTCATGCATCACATATTTAGACATTTTGCATTTCTTATTTTCTTTGCATTTTGTTTTTTCTTTGCATTCACATTAACTAATATATACATGTCTCATCAAAAGGAGTAAATACTGGATACACCGCCTCAAGTATTGGACACACCCCATCCACATAACACTCGTTTGAAGAAGAAGAGGATGGAAGCCAGAATTACACAAATCGAGGAGAATATGTTAAAACTACAAAAGGAGCTAGAAGACAAAATAAACCAGAACAGTCGAAATACTCTAGAAACAATCACAAAGAACCAAGAGTCCTTGGTTGATCAGATCGTTGCCAAGTTAATTGGCCTACAACAGACCAGTGCGCCTGGGGCAGGTTCATCGGAAGGAGTAACTATACAACCTACCCCACAAGTGGTTATCTCACCTGAAATCTTACCAGAACTTCGAGGGGACTCATCTGCTGCAAAATCAAAGCCCTTGTCCTCTGTATTTAACCCTAGGAACAATCCGGGTTATTACCATGTACCGGATTTGGATGAAGAGGAAAAAGCGAGGAAGATGGAGGAAAAAATCAAACAATTGGAGGACCAAATGAATATAGTCAAAGGAGACCGTGACTACCATGAAATCGATGCAACGGAACTTAGTCTAGTCCCGGACTTGGTTCTTCCCCCGAAATTTAAGTCCCCGGAGTTCGAGAAGTTTGACGGGAATAGTTGCTCATCCGCTCACATCACCATGTTCTGCCGAAAGATGACAGGATATGGAGGAAACGACCAACTCCTGATCCACTGCTTTCAGGATAGTCTGTCGGGCTCAGCCATTCGGTGGTACAACCAGCTAAGCCGATCAAATATCAAGACCTGGAAGGACCTGGCCAAGTCATTTCTGGAACAATAAAAGCATAACAATGACATAAGGCCAGATCGAGTTATGCTACAAAACATAGAAAAGAAGCATAACGAGAGTTTCAGGCAGTACGCACAAAAATGGAGGGACTTGGCTGTGCAAGTTCATCCACCGTTAGATGAAAAGGAAACCCGGAAACTTTTCGTACAGACTCTGAAGGCTCCATACTTCGGGCATTTGGTGGCGATCACATCAGGAAGCTTTTCAGACTTGGTTATGGCCGGAGAAATGATTGAGTCGGCCATAAAGCAAGGCAAGATTAAGGATGGGGAAGCCAGTAAGAAGCCTCCTATGAGGGAGAGGGATGGAGAGGTTAACAACATCAAACACTCCAGCAAAGGTGTTACAATCTCCAGCCCAAAACCAACTGCGGCTGTACCGTTAGGTACTTCTAAACAAGAGTCCAGGAGGGAAAGGGAACATTTCGACCCTATTCCCATGACCTACAAAGAGCTTTACCAGCA